TGTACGTCACAATCACTGTTGAAAGTGAGACGACGCATGCGCATAACTAAGCAGAGATAGATCCTACGAATAAAATATTCCCCATATCCGGCATGAGAGTTAAACTCGTTCAATGAAATCAGAAATATTATTATCTCTATGCAATAAAGTGCATAAATGTGACAGACAAACTTGTATAACTGTCAAATGTTTCACTGACCAACTGATCATGGTGCGTGCCACATGTGTTGCAGACAACTGAATGACGCGAAATAGGCAATTTAAAGTTTCTTGTTGTTATCGGCTAGGCCAGGTAAATAACGAGAACAACAACAGAGGACCAGTTGACGTCACGCGTTGTTACTCGCACAAAATCGAAAGTTAAAAAAGGCATCATACCTGATTCATTTGTTTTAATTTTAAGAAAATAGATGATGTTTGAAATGAATAGAAGAATTATATTAAATAAGCGTCGATAGAAGTAACGCCGGGGGACTTTCTAAATAATGATGTGTTTTTTTTTTAACTATTTACTGAACACGTATAGTCATGCCATTGTAGCAGTAGTGATAAGGCTATGTATTCATACACTGCAAATAGCAGTTGCAGTTATACTCTCATAAACGAATATCTTCACAGAAAGGATACAGAAGTGTACCACACCAAATGAAAATACATGTTTAGTAAACGACAAGACATATCGTTTTGGAGACGCTGGATAAGAGGAGATTCATCTAAATGTTTCTTGGGAGGTTTCACGAATGATAATATATTTTTAAAGAAAGTAGACATATTGGCAACACAATAAATGCACGGCCACACTATTTAACGATAACCTTCAAAGTTTGAGCACATTTATGTTCAAAGGGAAGTAACTCAATGTGACTATGTATGACTAAGTGCCTAGCGAGTAGACTAGCTAAACTTTCAACAAGATTACAACCTCCCCCGCAGTTTACAAACTTAAAACCACACATAAACACATTACAGAGATCGGGGCCAGTCTAGGTATCTAGGAAAAGGCGTGAATCCCATAGTGAATATACACTTTTCTCTCGGTAAAGCCTCGGGTTCTACCAAATTTGAAAATCCCTCGGGTGGAATTTCCCTATCCTACACCGCTGTGCATGAACGAGTCTTATAATATTCTCGGATAAGTGTTTGGAAAAAAGTTCGACAATGCTCACTTGATCAACGTTGCGGGATGTTTAAGGGCTGATTAGCCCAATGATATGTTAACCCTTGCGATGTATATCAAAGAATATTTTCAACAAAACACCAATTCGATGTTTTTTACAAACGGTACATACATCGCTTTTTCAAAATACATGTATACCATAACAAGAAAGAAAATGAAAATATTAAAACACCACAATAAAAAAAAAACAACAAACAAACAGCATTCTAAACACACACAAATAACACTGAATTGAAAAAAATGTGTTTCAGCTCAGGACCTCCATAGTGTTATGTTCTGTCCTGCAGAATGTCAGCTTAAGACTCAGATTAATTAATTTGAACACTTTTTACCTCTTCACTTTTCAAAATGTTATTAAATACACGTATAAAAACGGCATTATATTTTTGTGAAGTCAATAACAAATATCCTTTGGAATGTTATGTTTCAGTAACATCATTAACGGGGTTCAGATCGTGAGAATAGGGGTGAAAGGGCGACTATAATGAATAATAGCGACATTGATTCCGGGGCGGTCAGGTGTGGCCAGAAATTTCTCCTTCCTGTAATCAGTACCCGTACCTACCTGTACAAGTATAACACGCACAGGTACAAGTGTGGCTAATACAGTGATCTATTGTAAGTCAAACACGGTTGATAAGTATCTATAATATTCATCGCTGGCCTTACGTGACGGGGTCGTACACGTAATAAACCTACTTGTTGGTTACCCTTTGTTTAATGCATACAGATCGGTTGTTAGCTGTTAAGAACAGGGCGAAGATGAAAATTAAGCATGACAATAATTTCTTCGTCTGATTCCTGAGGCCTTCCCTGATCAAAAATGCCACCAGCTCAAAGGTAGGTATAAATAGTCACAATTTCTGCACGTTATGATTATTTCTCACGTACACACTAATGTATTCATTTAAAATCATGATATGAAAATAACTTTGTAGGTATTCACGGAAACGTCACATAGTAATGTCTGACACAATGATACCCTGCTCCTACCACACCTACGTGTTCTTCAGAAAATAAAATGTAATTCTTTTACTGATTTAATAATTTTGCAATGTTTCGTCTACTCCTTCACTTCGCAATCATTCAACATATATCATCTAAGACGTTCTGTTGTATATTTAAATCAAACATATAAGACGTTCTACATGTGTGTATATATAACATGTTATGATCTTCGGGCTGCTCCATCCTCGCCTGTGCCCTCCCCCTCCCCCTGGAACTCCATCCCCCATAAGATTTGTGTCCTTCCTCGAGTCTGTCCCATATTATTATCCTTGTCACATCACATCATCGGTTACCATGGAAATATTAATCCAGTTTCAACTGAGGCTGATACAGTGCATTTAAGCACTGAACTGCTTTCAGTTGGCATTCATAGGCAATATGACGGTCAACTGGACAAAGGCAAATTCAATGAAGCGCGCTATTAATGTTGGACATGCTTTTCACATTGCCTACATGTATGAATACCAACTGAAAGAAGTTCAATACTTATATTTACCATTTCTGGAATCTGTTCATCTCATAATAAATACAGGATCTTGCATGAGTTTCCATTTCATATGAGATTTATGAAAATAATTTTTCATTTTAGCGAGCCACTGGCGAGCTAAGATAAACAATTCGTGACGAGTTTCATAAATTTCACATGAAATGAAAACGAGTATAGGATCCTTTTTATCACATAACCAAGATTTGTGGCATTTATTTCTGTAAAACGACAATTTTCATGCAAACTTGAAATGTCAAAAAACGCCATTTTGACTCCAGTGCGTAAGTCTGTGACGTCATGTACTTGTCCTAGGCGTGACGTCACAATTGAAACAATTGAAACTTACAACCAATCAAAGGGATGGTAGGTCGTATTTAATGGGTTAATACGCAAAAAAATATGACATGGGTTAATTCTCTGGATAACATTATCGGATAAATTCAATTACACTTATTATTATTCAGCATTTAGTTCAAATACCAGATCTGGTAATTATTTTCTAAAATTTTGTACAAAAACAAATTATAACATGATTTATCATTTTATTGTTTACTCTAACGTCGCACTTTCCAAGTTACATATTAATCTCACGAATCACATTTCAAATATAATTTAACAAATAAATATTCTGTATGCAAATACAGGTATATAGTATTTAATGAAAACACGCACTGTACACTATTCACGGTTCAATATTTTCACGTATATTGTCTATCTGTCTGTCTCACTCTGTCCTAGTGTGTCTGTTTCTGCGTGTCTGTCCGCTTGTCTGCTGTCTTTGTCTCTTTGTGTCCGCCTGTCCGCCCATTTCTTTATCACTGCCTGTTTGTCCGTTTCTCCACTCTGTCTGCTCCTGCCTCTGTCTCAATGCTTCTGTCTGCCGCGGCCTCTGACTCAATTTGGCTCTGTTTCCCAACATGGAAAATGTCACAATATCTAAACCTTATTTGTGTTTCAGCAACAAGTCACATCCAAACAAGAACAGAAAGGTTCCTATCAGGGAAAAATTTGCATATGGCGCCGGTCACGTGCTTAACGACATGATCACATCATTCTTGTTGAGTTTCATTGCGATCTACGTTACCGTTGGTTTGCAGATCAACGTAACGTTTGCAGGATACATACTTTTTGTAATCCTGGTCGCGGATGCGCTTTCCCGACCTCTCATCATTGTGTTGTCAAGGAAACTGATAATATGCTGTTACGTTGGACGCCGGAAATCATGGCACATTCTAGGTAATTCAAAGAAAACGCCCTTCCCAATTTGAATCGCTGTACAATGTAACACACACAGGTGATAACACATTGAAGACATTTGTACGCTAAGACTTTCAAGGACACATCGGTGATGAAAGGCACCGAACATTTGTTATGGACTTAACTATAATGTCTACCAATATGAAACATAGGGCAATGTCTTTCAAAAGAAACATATAAAAAACCTCGTTCTGCAATGACTCCACAATATGTTTCCTGGAGTCGATAGAAATATGTGGCAAAAAAAACACAGGATGGTAGCAAACTTACTCTGTCATTGCTCGATTTATCCAGGAAATCTTGTGTTGTGTTGAAAATCGACAAACATCATTTCATTACCTAGCATGCTTTGCTCGCTGAGACAATATAAGCAAAATCCTGACTGAAGGGGCAATATTCCATTCCGACCATATTACTACAACTTCGATTTCCATGTTAACTGTAGGTATATGTAGTGATTTATGTTTTAAGAACGGTAAAGGAATCCTTCTATAAAAGTTATCAATTATCGTTTTACATATCTTTGAAAATCACCACCAGACGTATGTTCACGCTTAAGTAAAGGTAATTGAATACCTAGAGAGATAGAACAGAGAAAGAGCACCCAAAACAAGACAGGGGGAAGTCTTGTTTTGTCTCTTGTTAATATGCTCTAAGCTGAGAGTACAGAGCTAAGACTCGCATTGTAGAGGGGATCTTGTCAACCACGGCGTATAAATGCAGTAAGTCATATTCCTTTTCGACAAAACTTCAAGATAAAAGGTTCTGTTTTGAGAGTTTTGTGTTATATATATACATGTATATTTAATTATTACCATAAATCGGTGAATGACAAAATATATGTCGTAAAAAAGAAAAGAAATAAAAGAAACGAAATTCAATTTAGATTCGTTCAAAAATATCAATTCATGTCATTTTTCGTTACTACACACAGGTTCGGTTATGCTGAGTATTTGTATCGTGCTGACGTTCAGCTTCCTGTTGGTACCGGAAGTAGATGACTGGCCCCGTTTTCTTGTGTACGCAACTTTATTTATCCTGCTGGCTTTCGCCTTCACGTGCGCACAGGTGTCTCACAAAGCCATTCTACGGGACATGACCGGTCTGACGTCAGAGAGAAATTTACTGAGCGCTTGGAGGTACATTTTTAATTCACTTGTTTGTTACAAGGGACGTCTTTGGTTAGGGTAAATTGTTGAGTCATATAAGACATAGTGCATTATTATGACTGGAGATCAAACAATATACACTGTGTTTTCATTTGATACGTAACACTGAAACACATGTTAGGAAGAAAGCACGTTCAAATAGCATCAGAAGACATATTTCAAACTCGAAAAAAATGTTGTTTACGTTGTTGAAAACTGGCGCGTGCATGGATTATGTATTCTGATTCGGAAAACAGGAATAAACTCATATTATAGAAATAATTTTTTTGTATTCTTACAAATTAAAAAAAAAATACTTAAAATTGTTGATATTACAGAAAAGTTTTTTTTTCTTCAATTTTCCGTTTTGGGTACTGGTATTTGTAAAAGCCGGAAACAGACCCAGGTCCTGAAAGATTCGGCATGTGCTATAAGGGAGCTAACTCTGCCGTCCTTATTTTTTTTATCGCCAGGCACTTGCTATGAAACATTAAATGGGTAAACTCGTATCATGATTAGCTTTTGTTTGGTTTCATTCGTTTTGAATTTATAGAACGATCTCCTTGATTTGTGCCTTACCTATGTGTTTCTGTAATAGTGATGTACGTGTTTGGGTAGCTGGCGAACAAACTCGGCCATCCTTTTAACCTTTTTTTTTTTGTTATCTGTGGGACATGGTGTATACACGTTATACAATACCGGTAGACATTTTTGTTCTCCTAACCTAGCTTGACATAGATATAAGGACTCCATCAGTTGGTTTTTAGTCAATAACTGTAAGTTACGGAGCCTGAAGTTGGATCCTGCCTACTGTACAGTAGTTCCTAGTATTGTAAAGAGAAACAGAACTGGGAATCAGATCCTATTTCCATTGATGAGTTCCTTTATACCAGACTTGCTACAGACTAGAAATCAACCCTTTATCCGAACTCTAGTAGTAGGAGTTTAAATATCAACCTATATTTCCTTTTGGGCCCTGCCCCTCTATGCCCTGTGGGAGACACACCTTTCTTTAATGAAACGTTTAGTTGCGTTCGCATAGCAATGCTCCAGACCAAAAAAAGTCTTCTTCTTTTGTTTGTTTAGACAAGTAGCGTTTTAAAGGAAAAACTGACAACAGAGGTGTAGGCGAGTGACAATGGTCATCGCGCCACGGCATACAATTTCTTTTTCCATTTTGAACTAGAATGTTTCACATTAGGTGTGTAAACATCGGTATGACGGTACGGATTAACGGGGGAAAAGAGCAAGTTTCAAGAACCGAAAGTCCAAGCCATATGTCCTACATAAAGATGCTCTAGTTCAACTGCAAATATGGATAGCCACGAGTGTGTGTATGTTTTATATTTGCCTGTCATGCTTTTAAGTCATTATTCAAAAGATTGAAAGTATGCAAATAAACATTTAACACATACGTTTTGAGGGAGGGTTAGTTTCGTTTAAATCACTTTGAATCATGCCAATTAACTTGTACAACAACACAAGACATTTGATTGTGATGATTGGGAAGCAAGTACTACATGTATGTACTTATACATAGTCCTTTTTATCGTTCATAACAAGCTTTGCTGATAATACAGGGAGGTGGTAGGGGCTAGTGTTCACAACATACATATGCATAATGGAAAAAATACTTTTTATATTTCCTGGAAAATCTTCATTGTACACGAATTACTGTTTTCCCCCAAGACATCTTTGAAAATCATTTATTATCAATTCCAACTCATTAACTTACGAAAAGCACATTATTTTAGAATACATTTTTGATTTTAACAAAACGTTTTTACAGATGCTAATGACTGTGTATGCTTTGCATCATTTCATGATGGATTTTATGAGTAAATGTTTGAGTTTAAATATTATGGAATAAAGCTTATTTTACTCTGAAGGAGTAGCAGTTCGCTTGCGGCTAACATTTCTGTGTTCGTGGTCGCCGCCATTGTCCTCGGTGTTTCCGGTGACGTCAGCAGTTCTGCCTTCACAAGAGGAGACGCAGTCTCGTTCTCGGTGAGTAAGATTTCCACGTGATCTCTGCCAATGTTGAAGGAGGAAACACTATGGTGATGTAGAACCATTGCTCTAATGAGGAAAACAATCAGAACCATTACTTGTTGACAGCAAAGAGCGAATAATAATACATATACGCACATCGCACAGATATAGCTTCCAGTATTTAAGGTATATTGTCGAACGCGTGTCCATTTCATGAGATTGATAAACGGGGTCGAGATTTGCAGAGCATGTAAATACAGCTATTAATGTATCACTCATATTTGCTTTCATTTTGAAGCCAATTCCATTATTAAATATGACAAAATTATATGCACTGAATAACTCGAATTGTCAGGTGAATACAGACTTGTTTTGTTATTTTTTATTTTATTTCTGTTGAGTGTCGGCTGTATAAAGGTTAACTGTACCGCATGTGAAAAGTTTTCAAAATGATCTCACAAAATGCAATTGCGTTAAACTTAATGTCATTTAGAACTACTTCAAAGTGAAAATGTTAGTTTATAAAAAACAAAAACAAGTTTTACTGTACGTAGAAAGCCATCTTATCGGAACACGATAATTACGGGTGTAAATGTACTGCACGCGAAAGTTTGTACTTTATTTGCTTACTGCAACCACCTCTGATTAAGCTCCGTTTTATTTTCGCGCTTTTTAGACAGTAGAAGTGTTACATTGTACGTGGTAACACATATTGTGACGTGGTAAATTCATGCGGAGTCACTTTACTGTGGAAAATCTCCTACTATAACATGGCAAAATCTCATTATAGGACTTTCTTATTCCATTTTATATTGCCTTTACTTTAAACATATTTTATTGCCAATAAAATTAAACAAGGGTTTTGGGCACAAGTTATTACAACTTATCATATCCTTCTCACGTCATACATTTACAATAACATGACAACAATGAACATTGGCATAAACATGAAGTAGATATTTATATAATATTCACACAGGTAAAATACACAGCTTAAAAACACCGTTCAAAATCTATTGCTGGATTTGATGAAGTGATGAAGTTAAATTGTCTACTTCATTTTGGTAGTATTTAATAAGGTGACTCGCTAATTTCGGTATATCTTCTACTTTATCATGGAAGTATAAAATACATCTAATTATGTGACTCTCTAATTCCAGTATACATGTATCTAATCATGTGACTCTCTTATTCCAGTATATCGCCTTCTTTATCCTGGTAGTATATACCTCCAAGTTTATCCTGGTAGTATACTATGTATCTAATGATGAAGTCTCGTTTAACCAGACTCTTGTTGTCTGTGCAAGCTACGCCAAACAGAGAATTACAAAGTGATCAACGGTCTGTTTGAACGAACTACTAATAATGTGGCTCCACAATTCCTTTATATCGCCTACTTTATCGTATCTAATCATGTGACTCTCTGATTCCAGTATATCGGCTACTTAATCCTGGTAGTATAATATGTGTCTAATCATGTGACTCTCTTATTCCAGTATATCGGCTACTTTATCCTGGTGGTATTATATATTCCAGTATATCTCCTACTTTATCCTGGTAGTCGGTGGGTCCTGTTGTATCACGTTTTACCTCCTGGTTCCCGAGAAAACCCAAACCTGTGAAGATGCCAAAACCCAGTTCAACGGGTGCTGTTACAGGTCAAAGGTCGTTCATCCGTACGGTAGCACGAAGGCTAGCAACTTACGGAGGGGTTCCAATATGGCGACGCTGACTGTAGACACTGGCAAGATGTCGGAGAGGAAACGGTCACTTTCTGGTGGTTCCAGCCAGCTTATGTCCAGAAGACAATCTGATGGACAAACCAGATCATCACAAACACTCCAACCAATAAATAACGAGGAAACCAGGACAAAATCACCACGTAATTTTTCGAAAACTGGACACCTTGTTATAAATGTTCAAAAAATGACAGATGGCAATAAAATGGCAACTGGGAGCAAGGTTCAAGGACCAGACAACAACAAAGTGACAGTTCAAAGTAAAGGTCAAGTGAATACTGTTAAGGCAGCCACATCTGGATTAACCAACAACGAAAAGTTAAAAGCACCGACTACACCAGAAAAGGATAAATTGGTCGCTACAAATACAGAGAAGTCTCAGACACAAACACCAAACCTCGATCTGAAGAAAACCGCGAACTTGGTTGTTAACACTAAGAGAGTCGGTGGTAATTTTAAAGCAAAACAGATGCTACGTGTCGGAAGCAACAAAACAGGAAGTAGGTCGCCTTCACCTGGAGTAAGTGGACGGAAATCACGTGACGTTAGTACGTCACAAAAGATATCACCGTGGTGTTGTTTGTGTCCCAAGGTCAAGGACAAATCAATGTCATCCGGTCAGGCTTCAGTCAAAATAAGAACCGGTAAATCGACAAAACAATCTAAAAATAGTGCAAAAAATCCGGAAAAGTCCAAATCATGCTATTGCTGTTGTAGACGACAAAAAGATAACGACAGGTCACATGACCGAGTTCAGAGGTCAAATAAGAAACGGGACTGCTGCCCTTGGTTCAAAGGAATGTGTAAGAAACCAAAGTTTTTTAAGGTAAACATGTTTGATGAAGTCGGAAGGAAGCCACAGAAGTTTTACCTGAAAAATTAAAAACATATTTAACTGTTTGATATTTCGGATATTCTAATGAATTTTTAAACAAACTTCCAGACGGTTCAGTTTACTGATCTTTATCAAAGTTATGATAACACTTTTGAGAAACAAATTAAGTAGTATGAAATATCAGATTCAGTTTCTTTTGTAAATGAGTTTGTGATTTGTCGACATTAAATATTAATCAAATTTGGAGCTCCTGATCTCAGTTGGTCTAGGCATTATTTACTTACCGACACTTTTACCAATTTGTTGCATTTAGTATTCTATGGAGAATATCGAAATTCAAAATCATAACTACATGTAGAAAATTCAAAGTCACCATCTCTTATTAAGCTTACCATTCTCTGAACAGCCAGGTCATGAGCCCGTATTAATGATACCGTTCTCATGCTCAAGCATAATTTTTTTTTCTATATTTTCTATATCATTAAACAAATCTTATTTTGTCAATGATTTGGGGAAAAAATAAGATATTTAAAGCCGAACATTATTTTCAATGTTTACAATTGACTTTTTGATTGTTTAACATGACTTAAGTGAGTTACAAAAAAGTGGTTTGAGCACAGAATCCATGCTTAAGCATGAAAACGGTTTGTGGTAATTTTGTGTTCCAGAGTGTCGTCATCCACGCCTGCTCAAAGCTGGCATTCCTCATAGCCCAGGTCTACATGCCGCTCTACCTCACTGAATCTCTGGCCATGGGCAAGGTAAAGGTCAAGGTCAAATACCAGAGTCAAGATCATTGTCACGGCAAATCACAATGCAAATGCTTGGCCTTTGGAGCACTGTGAACGATGACCTTTAACGTAATAATAGCAATAAGATACAGTTACCGGAAAGAGTCAATTTTGTTTTTTCAATATTTGAACAACAAAACTAATGTTATTGTACTGTTCCTTTATTCTGTCCTCTTAAGTTATTATTTTCAAATTAAATGTGTTACATTGACCATTTTTTTGTAGGTTTTTGTTACAACATCGATTGCAATTGCAACCCAACAATATCGAGACGGAGTTGTGTGTTCAGATCTCATGAACCATATCAATGACATTGACTTAAAGTATTAATGTATAAGTTATGGTGCATTGGGGAGTGTTGTTTACTTGGCGAGGGAGCGGTTATTACTGGTAAAGTACGTAATTGATAAGGTTTAATTCAATCTTCATATCCACAATGACGTGAACTGGGTTTACCTGTTGTAGATATCTACGGCCATAATACCTCTTGTCGTGTACATATCTGGATTCATAGCCACCTTGGTGACAAGGAAAATCAACGCCAAATACGGCCGAAAGGTAACGTACATATCAGTATAAATTTAATTTCCAACAATTATGAAACAAGTTATTTCAACTTATATTAAACACTCTTGTTGGCCCGGATGTTAGCGTGCGGAGGGTCTGAATGTGGGAGGTAACCGGAGTACCCGGAGAAAACCCACGTGCTCGGGTAGGTGACCCCATACCTTTTCACGTCCGATCAGGGAATCGAACCCCGGCCGCATTGGTGAAAGGCAAGTGCGCTATCCTATAGATCTTAAGTGTAAGATAGTTATTAGTCGCCCGGACTGATGTGATATTCAGTGGACTCCATGACCTTGCTGCATGGTAACTGTCTGATTCTGGGGAGTCGAACCAGATGAACGAACACATAAGGTCTAACTGCCGTGTTACCTGCAGCCCAATTAAAGATAGTAGAGTTGTTTGTTTGTTTTCCCTGATTTTCTGTGCTTAGCAGCCAACCGTTACATGTTTACATAGGATACACTTTCAAACACTTTTTGTTATAAACGGTGAACTGTGAAATTTAGTTGAATAATGGTACAAATGGCGAAATCTTGGTTGAAATAAGGGGCACCTTGGTGACTTGAGCCATGTTTTACAAGTCCTTGCCTTTTTATACATATCATAACAGAACAAAAAAATCGTTTTCATTGCATGAAAAATCATCTACGTTTATCTCAAAATTAGTACGTTAAAACTATTTCCTAACGTTCTGTTAGGGCACGTGTAAGGTTGAACCACAAAACGCGGTAAGTTGAGCCATCCGAGAGGGATAACTAGGGCAGGGGGTCCTTCGGTCATAATTTAAAAGGACTCTTAGATAACCAGTTTATACCTTAGCTTGGGAATACAGGACCTTTTTAATATACATTATTGGGATTGGTAAAAATGGGCATGGTATGGGGACGTAAAATATTACGTTTACAATATCATAAATCAACATTGCATGGGTTTTTATGGACGCTTAATTTTATTTCTGTTTCTTAGGATTTTGTGAAAGAATTATTCCATTATTTTCATTTTATTTGCTTGCACTATTTACAACAGTTCCTGAGTCGTCACGGAATGCCAACAATCCTTTGTGAAAAAATGCTGAAATGAAATTATTTTACTGTTTACCTGAATTTCAAGCAACGCTATTGTTTTTAACCACATGGCTAAAGTAGCCCTGGGGTCGGTGTCCCAACTTGTCCCCGGTGTAGTTGTCAGATTCGATGGCTTATTGCATGCTTGAGGAAGCAATAGAAAATTGTCTTTAACACTGGAAGATGCGTTTGTTTATATATATTTGCTCAACCTAACACACTGAACAAGGCAAACGTGGAGGAGACAAACCTGGCATCGCCATGTTATAACGAAACGCCAAAATGACCGACCCAGCAACGCTATGTCACAATGAAACGCCAGCATGACTAGGCATAGCTGTGGGATATTGAAACGCGAAAGAGACAAACCCGGTATTGCTGTGTTATAATCAACTTTAGCATCGCAAAGAGGCGAGCTCTAGCATAGCAATGTTATAACGTACATGTAACAACAAAAAGCTGTATAATGTATTGTAGTTTAAACATTTTAAATGGAGAGCTCAGTCATCACACCATCAGAATAAGATTTTTTTTTATTTGGCTGTGTGATATATCATGGTTTGTATCTTTTCTATAGTGTATATGTGTGTCTAAATTCAGATCGAAGCTGTACTGATAACCAGCAGCTTTATCGTTAATTTTTCAAAATGTAAGCGCAAAATAAGATTGCTGATTACATGATATAGTAATAAAAGATATATGACCCAAGGTGCTGCTAACTGACAATGTACCATATTGCACCTTGTCGTTTAAATTGTCTCCCGAAAAACTTAAATCGAACAGCTTTGCCGGACAAGACGACGTCTATGGCGGAATAATGACGCCACGCTAAAGTATTCGTAACCCATTCTTGTTCAAAATCATCGGTTTCATTAGTGGATAAGAACCGATGAGTTCCGATATGTTGAGGAGGTTATGACTGCTTCTAGAAAAGGCGTGAAATAACTATACCTTTTCAAATTTGCTTTATATAAAGTTGTACAATCAATACAATACAGATAAAAATGATGATAGTTTAAACAAATGCTACTGTATCACTGTGATAACTGTGACATATCTGCAATGCACAAGTTGTTTTTATCAAATCCCCTCATATCTACCCTAATAATGTACTATTTAGAAGTGTATTATAACCGTTTTATCATATACTGCTATACAACACCAACAGTATTTGCAATACTACTTAAAACACACAGCAAACTTATATTCCAGGTTTTAATATGCTCATATTCTACTATATTTATTGATGATTTATATGTTGATTAAACTATTTCAAGTGTTTATTATACATGTGTTATAAACAGGTTATCACATGACCAATTCTTCATCCTATTCCGTATCAGCCCTCGACCCATATAGACCCTCAGGCCTTCAGCCCCTAGGGCTGATATGGAGGTATCGGGTTGATAGGGATCGTAGTGTGAAAAAGGTCATGCGATCACATCTAATATATCACGAATGTATGGAACAGGTTCTTAGCACATGTATTAAATACTGAAGTTGTACAAACTTAATAAGATCCATGTCTTTCAGCGAACATTTGCTATAGGAGAAGGCTGTGTTTTGGGAGCGTCCGTCTGGCTATTCTTTATACCTGTCGAGACAAGTAGTCAGGTGTACGCCACTGCCTGTCTGCTGGGAGTCGGACTGTCCACACTACAGGTCCGATCTGTGTCCATGATGACCGATCTGACCGGATCTCCTGTCGTAAGTCTGTGCTTATCTTTAAACCTTGTTATCATTATCTTTGTTATAATGTTTATCTCAAGATCTCAATCATTATTTTTCTTTCAATTAAACGCAAGGAACAAACAGCGTTTAGTGTATATGAATATCTAAAAGTCTGAAAGATGTTAACAAAAACAAAAAACAAAATTAAATTTATGGTAAATTTGTGAAATCAACGATCATTGCCAAATAATCATACATCGTTAATTTATATGTAGTAAATTTGCTTCATCCGACAAAAAATGTTTCTGAACGTTCTTCGAACTCACGCCTACTCAAACACAGAGGGACTTTCTTTAATTCTAGTAATAACATATCGGACTAAATAGACAAAATTCAACATTTTGACATGTGTGTTGTTCCTGCAAATGTGCCTGTGTTTATAGTAAGATGATCAGGTTGACGCGCCATTGTTGTCGTCTGCTTCAGTCGTTCGGAACTCGGTTTTAGATCTCTTTGTACAACATATTGTCTAGAGAGGTTCAAAATAAGGAAAATCTGACTGCGGAAATTCGAGCGCGTAAGGAGACAATATTTTGTATTTCCCTGTCATGTGATTAACATCATCCAATCAGACACGTTATGTAAATTTCAGGACTCTGGGGCAGCCGTGTTCGGTGTTAACGAGAAGATTATCCAGGCAGTTGCTGTCCTTTTGTTACAGGTCCTCAGTCCGTGCAGGTACGTAGTTCTTCAGCGAGATCTTAATCCGGAAAACCTGCTTATTCATATACATAATTACTGGACGTTTATAATCTGGCCACTTTTCATTCGAATGACGGAATCCGAATTGTTATAACAGCTACAAATACGGCAATGGACACCCCACTGTTTTAAACACTCATCTTGCTAATACTTTTCACTCTCTAATTTCTAAAAACCAAAAATAAAAATGAGTTTAAAGGAAAATCTCGGCAATATCAAAGTTCTTATAAGCATAGTTTTCTTAGAAACTAATGGGAAAAAAAAATAGCAAAATAAAACTTCATAATTCGTTTCATTTCACATAGAAATGAAACTCAGTTAAGATCCTTTGTAAAAGAAATGAGTGATCTTTACCATGTGTAATATCCATTTGTTGTATCTGTGACGTCATAAAAACAAATCACACTTCAATATTGCTTATGAAATTGAAAAAAATACAAAAATATATAAACCTAGGAAGCATGATCGTATTCCCGCAGAAAGACAATTCCACTATTTGTACATCTGGAGCCAAAATAAACCACCACATAAGATAAAATATACGTTCCGTTGGTGATTTGAAAGGACATATAAGGTTTGCAATGTTACCCCGCATTGGGGGATTATGTTTAACATGTCATGGGACTGTATCACACACCATCATAAATGTTAAAAAAGTAGTATTTTTGTTTCTTAATATAATAAAAAATATTTAAAATTATGTCACGATTAATTTTCCATTCTCTACAAGATTGAAGCAATTTGCATTCAAGATTTCATTTATCTCGCTAACGAAAAGTGAAAGCTTCTCGAGTCGTATATTATATAATCTAGTATAAGATCCTGTACTGTAGGCTGGATGCGCATTCGGACGACTGTAAGCTGTTCTATAGGAGTATCATGCTATCAATGCCCGGGGGCTCCACATTCATCAGCTTCCTGGTGCTGGCGCTGGCCAAGGTCGTCGGTATTGACGACGAGGAACAGGGACGTAAGTGTGTCCCTACATACATTTTTAGTCTGCTTCGCAAAATGAAGCGCAGCCTAGCGGAAAGAAACAGAAGTACGGCAGACAACTCAGCATAGGACTCCAAATAGTTGAAAACTCCGAATCTATGAGCCATCTCTAGAGTCACTCCGTGTGACCTTTTGTGCTATTTTCGTGTTAATAGTCGCAATGATCATTTGATCAATCAATTGATCAACAAAAATGTTAGAACCCATTATTCGGTAGCTCATTAAAAAATGTTTAGATCTAAGTGAACTGATTTTACCAAAGCATTAAGCAATTATCAGAACCATTTTTTATTCCAAGGGAATTGTTTGTTTAGGGTTAATCTACCTTCCTTGCAACAGACTGCCTCTTTTCGTGTTCATTTAATTGAGTATTATCCATTTATTCGTTATGTATACAATCTGTAACTTTCCTCCTCACAGTTGAAGTGTCTGACGGTAACGCCATAGAGATCAGCTCAAGCATCGCCGTTTAATAATGAAACGTCAGAAAGACAGACTCAAGAATATTTGTGTGATAATGTAACGTCAGGGAAAACAAACTCCAGCATTGTTGTGTCACAATGAAACGCCATAATGACAGACTCGGCATAGCTGTGGAAGGTTGAAACGCGAAAGAGACAAACCTGGCATCGCCATGTTATAACGAAACGCCAAAATGACAGACTCGGCAACGCTATGTCACAATGAGACGCCAGCATGACTAGGCATAGCTGTGGGATATTGAAACGCGAAAGAGACAAACCCAGTATTGCTGTGTTTTAATCAACTTTAGCATCGCAAAGAGGCGAGCTCTAGCATAGCAATGTTATAACGTACATGTAACAACAAAAAGCTGTATACTGTATTGTAGTTTAAACATTTTAAATGGAGAGCTCAGTCATCACACCATTAGAATAAGTTTTTTTTGATTTGGCTGTGTGATATATCATGGTTTGTATCTTTTCTATAGTGTGTATGTGTGTGTCTAAATTCAGATCGAAGCTGTACTGATAACCAGCAGCTTTATCGTTAAACATGGCTACAATGGTGCAAAATTTTAGTTAACAGTATACGGCTGATAATATTAAATTCCGTCCAAAAGGATTTCTACTAAGATGCAATTTTTTGCCATCAAATACATTGCACTGAGATTTGTTGTTTTTCGTTTGATGAAACATTTCTGCTTAGATTCGATTTTTGTAAATAAAATATTCCTGCTGATATGTAATGCTTTTCAGCTACATTTTTATCTAAGAGACTGCATTAATAATCAATTTTGATTTTCTTATTTTACGTTAATTTCAACACAGTATAACTGGCAGTTGCTGGATGTCTTTAATTGAGGCAACAATGGTCCAAATGCAAACAAAAATGATTCCCGAACTCATATGCTATCAATTGAGAATTAATTTCGTTCAAAGTGGATCATTGAGGCTATATTTTACGTTGTTCTGTTGTTTGTATGAGCCGACTTAACTGCTTTTTAATTATATATTCTGTTTCCTTGACTTAACTTGACTTATTTTTACATACGTTAGGAACGCAATTATCCCTCCCCATTGTGCTCTTGCAATACTGCCATAATAAACTGAACCCGTTTCACTCGAGTGTTTCAAGTACATGCAGATAATCAGAAGAACGCTACACCGCTAACCATACATAAACGTCTAAACATAACAAGCATGTTGTCATCGAAATGGTCCAAAGATAGCGGCTAGGAGAGATAAAGGTATAACGCAAGATTTAATACAATTACATATTTTAAAAAGTTTTGAAATTCATGATTTATAATAAATATTTCAAGTTTAAACATTGATGCATGGTTAGCGTTGAAGACACGGAAGTGGTAGGACGCCGGGCTCGTGACCAAAGGGTTGCGGGTTCGACTCTCGTCACGGCACTGTGTTGTTTCTTTGAGCAAGATACTTCACTCCGCTTGTTCAAGTTTACTCAGCTGTAAATGAGTACGTGGTTGGGCAGTGCTAGAATTGTTGAATGCTAGCTGTGTGCGCCGCAATGACAGCACCGGCTGTATGCTCCCTAGGGAGTTGAGAAAGATATTGGCTGGTTGCAAAGGCCCTATAACCACGGATAAAAATCTGTGAACCGCTTTGAGACGACCTACGAACTAGGTTGTGATAAAGCGGTATATAAGAACCTCTTATATCACTATTATTATTATGTACTAGTAGGGTTCGTCAGCTTATTTTCTTGTCGGAACTATTTGAAGGTTATGGAAGTAATAATGCACAAGTAAAGCTATATGTCGTTTTCTTTTCTTTCTTTACTGTTATCCAAAACTGTTTATTTATTTTTATTTGTTTTCTCTGCTATCCAAATGATTAGGTCATTAAAACAATTTTCGGCTGATGAGCCAACAACACGAGCATGTATTGCCTTATTATGTTTTGCTCATGTTAAGTGGAACAACTATTGTTCTTTGACGAACGCCAGCGAATTACTGAAGTCTCTGTACTTTGCCCCCTCATAACTTTCACATACGTAGATTTTGTGTTTTAAGTGTTATTCAGTGTTGACAATCATACCACTTCTCTTACTTTTTCTTTACATGAAACATACTTCAACAATGTCGCTACCTCTGTACAGGAAGACTGCCGCAACTGGTCAATGGTTGTACACAAAGATAAACTTCTAGTTACCAGATAAAAATGCAGCCCAATCGGAGCAGACAATCCTAATCGTCAGACAACAAAATACATTTTAAATTTTGATACCGAAATTAAAAAAATAGAGATCAATATCTAACCATGAAAATAACTCCGCCCTGTGATTTGTGACTTATCTCCCCTTTTGTGACCTCTTCTTGCTGTATATCGCTTTTCTATTTGTGTATTTTTGTTTGTTTATGTTCAACGGCCCATCGACGCCTGTTGTCTATTTGTGTAGTAAGACGGTTCATGTTGTTGTTTCCAAGAATGAATTGTAAGATTAACTGTTAGGAGAGGAAACCTATTGATTTCAGAGGAAGATTCATGCCATGTTAAAATGTCATTTTAAGTACAGATAAGCAAAAACAAGAGAGAACACATAGTCCAGTAGACTATAAAATGCTATTCATTATTCCAGTTCAGCACCGCGATACGAACGTGTTCAAAGTGGGACCCATTCAAAGCTCTGATTATGTTCCAAACTCTCTTAAAATCATGTTCCAAACTCTTTTAAAATCCTTAAGGATTAACGTTGCTTAGGTTCTTATCATTAATGGACACAAAACCAGAGATTAATTATTCATAAATAGCATACGCTGTCACATAAAACCCCAGTAATTAATCTGCAGAATGTAATCATTTTAAATCCGGCCATTACTGATATTTTGTCAATAGCACAATCAACTAGCACTACCAACGTCGGGTAAGATGACAAAAGGCTTCACTGACGTCTGCCTGGAAGTTGAAAAGATGATAACGACCGCGGAATAATGAGGGACATATGACCTTAATGCAGGCATGGATCTTGATACTGTTGATGCGTACGTCTAATATGGTAATTGCGGAAGTCATCAAAACTAACGGGGCTTATATATGTATAGTATGTTAAACTGCTATGCGAAAATTGACATGGACGGTAATTTCTCATCTTTCATCTTTACTTTCACTATTTTTTATACATCTCTTAAGCATCCCTTTTCTGTCGTTTTCTCCTGGGGTTTTCTATCCGTCTCTGTTTGGTAACTTTGTCGCTCTCTGTATCTAAGTGTTTGTCCCTCTAGTTATAATTTTTATCGGTGCAATGTTTGTAGTTTTCTCTCTAAAAAAATGAAACAATTCTTGGTAAGTTTTATATTTTGTTCAAAGATGAAAGTAAGACACATACATGTTATATTGAAATGTATTTTTTTTGTAATTTTCACTTTTTTTTATAAAGGTTACTGCAATCCTCGGGTACATGTGGACTAGGAAATCCACCAGCAGTGTCTACCATCTTGTTGTATCTTGATCAAAGTTGATTAAATAGCAAGTATTAGGTTAACGTTTTTTGCATAAATCTCTAATTCTGATTAATTTAATGTTACATGACGATTGAGTACACATACGATGAAGCCATAAAAGGGGTTTTAGAAGTTTTATACAAATGTATACATCACGCATTACAATAACACGATAAGACTATAATATACGAGATAGGTAATTAACTACTGAAGAGCGAAAATACATTAAATCGTTGGAGATGATAATTTTTGGATTTTATTGAAAAGACAGAACCTATCATAAATGTAAGCTAGTACAGTTCGCGAATAGTTGTGCACCGATTTGGTCGTGGAGCTTCAAAACGTCACTACATTTAGCGTAGTTGGACAACTTCACGTGAATGGGTCAACATAATACCTTAATTATACTTGACAAGTCTTAAAAACTAGTAAGATATCTACGAGAAAGTGTTGGAAAACCTTCTCCCGGTATGACTTCAACTTTGATAAATCAATTCTGAAAAGAAACACATACTTTGCAGGACTTTTATGAGAGAATACAAAACTGAACAGAAGTGGGACACGGATGCTTAACCCACAATCTTGGTTCAAGCATTTGCTTTCGTAGTTTCTTATCCATAGTCCCCCTTGGGGGAAAATAGCTGGTCAAGTTAACTCTGTTATTTACATATATAAAACACATCGAAAATAAGCCAGCTATATTATTTCATAATTCTCATACGAATTGAATTGAAAACTCATGTAAGATCCTATACATATTGTACAAATATAATTAGAATTCAGGTTAGTATGGCGATATGAAAGCGTATATAAACTCCTCTCTTGTAGATAACACTGAATACTTAATTCTTTTGTGATCACGCATCTTTCCAGGATATCTGAAACTAACAACAAGCTTATGAATGTGTCTAGAAGGTCTCTATTGATCAGACCCGGGACGAATCCGCAATGGTAAAACATTTAGCGCACGGCTTCAACTTCCGGTCACCACGTTCATGAACACTGCAACAAAGATTGAGATGCACATTCATGAAAAGCACTCTGAATTTTTAAGTCCGTAGGCGACTTTTAAAGAAACAGATCAACATCATACCAAATGCAGGTGTTTATATCTTGTATTCCTCCCTCTTTTGTCCCCACAAAAATTAAGAATGGCGCGATAATCCATTTTAAGCGCGATAAAATAGCTATTCAGAGACATTATGTCCTGCGGAATTTGTTGTAAATTTACATCATATACAAATATATGCACGTGATATAATGCCGGAATTGCATCCAATGATGATCAATGTATATAGAATAGAAATACAGCATCATATAAAGACAAAACAGATCGTCATATAATGATGGCAGAGTTCAATTATATTTATTGATAGTTATCTAGAAGAGAAATGCTATTTGGCGGTAAATAATAAGTATTTGAATTCAGTAAATTAAAAAAATACAAGTGATCCCATAGTACCATCTTCATTAGTTCTTTGTCAGTTTGATCTTTTCTCTTCTTTCCTCTTATCTATTTGATCGAGTCATGTTAACAGTAAATGTACCTTGAGGTAACTTTTGATCTAAACTTAACACCGATGTGTATGAAAGCCAACCTTCAAAGTGAGTTTGTCGTTTCACATATTTACTAGTACAGTACTTAATGTGAAAGAAATAGAATCGATTATTGCAATATGAGAAAGATCTGTTTAGTTTTTCTTTTAATCCATATTGTTTTTATGATCAGTCTCAACATATAACATGCACAACGAGAGATCAAGGGGAACCTACATATAAAATTTGAGAAAGATCCCTCTGGTACTTCTTGAGAAATAGCGATAACAAACTTTCAATATCAAAATCCAAGATGGCTGCCTGTCGGCCATGTTGTTTATCCGATCAGTCTCAAAAGTTGTCCTGCACAGCTAAGGACCAAGAGGAACCTTAATATAAAATTTGAGAAAGATCCCTCTGGTACTCCTTGAAAAATACCGATAACAAGAATTGTTTAAGGACGGACGACGGACGACGGACCACGGACGCAGGGTGATTTGAATAGCCCACCATCAGATGATAGTGGGCTAATAAAACGGATAAACGTAACTATTTAAAAGTAAAATCTAACTATTTGTTGATGAACTGAAATTAATAAGTGGGGAATTTTCACGATTAAGTTGCAAACTGTAACTATTCAGTTGTTAACGAGCTATTTATATGTGAGTGTAACAGGTAGTGCATTGCTAAATCAAGTGAACAATAATATTTAATTATGAATATGTATATTACTAGTGGTACATTATAAAATGTAATATTTGGGGTGTTAGTTGTAATCATCATTTGTTGAATTTGATATTTAGTGATAACTGTTGATTGGTGTTAAATGTAGCTTTTAGCTGTGAACTATAATTATTAATAGTTTAATTCTAACCTTTTTGCGGGAAATTGAAACCGTAATTGGTTGACACACTGTTAAGTAGTAAGTGAACTGTAACTATTTTGTAATTATATATATATATATTTTTGTTTGTTTGTTTTGTTTATGTTTAACGGCCCAGCGACGGCTGTGGTCATTTAGATAATAAAAAATAAAAGGGGGGTTAAAATAATAAAAGAGATAATGAATAGATGATATGGAATATGTGATATATATATAACGTCAAAAAGGGTAACGTGGGTTAAAAGACAGCAGAGTCTATAAAATAGACCGATGTCTTTCAAATAGTTAAATAATGCCTTCGAGTCCACGGAACTGAAAAGTGTTTTCAAATCCGGGACTCGAAAGTAGTTATCACGAATGTGTTTAAAATCGGAACATTCTATTAAAAAATGTTCCACTGTAAATGGAGTGTCACATGCGTGGCATGAAGGTAGATCTTCTCGTTTTAAAAGGTACGAATGAGTAGGATATGTGTGCCCAGTACGGAGCCGAGCGAGGACAACTTCCTCTCTACGATCTTTCCGACTGGGAATAGATGTTTTAAGTTTCGGTTGTATCTTAAAAAGTTTGTTGGTGGTCTCGAGAGACCAGCGTTGCTGCCATTCATTTTGAATGGCTGTACGAATCGTAGGTTTAAAATCTGTGTATGGTAGTTTGATATTTGTTTGTTCGAGATTCAATGCATTTTTGCTTCCCTGTCTGCAAATTCGTTGCCTTTAATTCCGACATGGCTCGGAATCCATAGAAAAGTTATTTTAGACTTTTTTAAGATACGAGATATTCGAAGAGCAAGGTTTTGTACGAGTGTGTTTTTAGGATCTCGTAACTGTAAACTCTTTTCATCCGTAGTTTAACTGTCATCGGCACACAAAAGTGTTGGAATTTGGGTGGGTATTTTCACATTAGATTTGTGTCGATTATCATCGGGTAAAGGGTATGCGATCAACTGAGAAATGTGATCCCGGGACGCATACTATTTACGATCAATTTCCACAAACAAATGTGACAAAACATGTAACTTAGAAATTAAGAAACGTTATTTCGTCATTTATTGTTGCTATGAATGATGGATTTGACATTGAAATAAACAAAGCGGTAAATTAAAACGGAAGTAGACACTAATCAGTCGACTATGACGGAGAAATTAATAACTCAATATACCCGAAATAATTATAACGGGATACCAAATTGTCCGGACTGACAAGGTTATCATAACATATATTAACATTATTCACACACAAATAAATCTACTAGCATCTTACATTGGAATTCAGTAAGTTATTGATGAATCACACCGTATAGTTAATACTATATTAAGTTATCGCTTTGACTTTGTTTTAAGGAATTGTCTGTTATTTATAGTACATGTATCAACTATGATAAAACAACGAGAAATTCATTGAGGTAAACAATAACAGTTAAAAATCAAGATTTCATTTTTATTTGATTTAACGTCATACATTTTAAAAGAAAATAACATACTTTTCAATACATACTTAGTAACTTCTCCCTAATATCCCGCTGCTATTGCCGAGCACATAGAGTTTTGTTCACTTCTGTCTTTTGCCGTCGGATTGTTTTCAAATACAAAACGACATTTTCTTGCCACTTTGGAAAAGATTTCTAACGAAAAACCCAACAATCAACGTTACATGTGAATATCCCCACTGCTCTCCACCGTTGACAAATCGGTTGTAGAAAGATTTATATGGGAGTTTTGTCCTTTATTAACGGATGTGGCGGAACCGGCAACGGAACTGAAAACGGTATTAGAAATGGCTTTCGTTTTGAACCTCTTGCCGCAAATAAGATAGAGTTGTCGACGGTATGCACTGTTCATGGTAACGTAAATCACAAAGTTGATAGACGAGTTGGTGGTTTCCGTAAGCAGCCCAATAAAACTTAGCAGACTGTGAACATTTGAGCTGTACTTGTAGTAAGTGCTGTTGGCGTCGAAGAGAACCATTAGGCGTGAAATTGTTGAAGGTAACAAACAGACGATGAAAATACAGGTGATGGTAAGGAGCGTCTTTGTTATCTGTCTCTCGTCGGTGGACGGTTGTTTACCCATGACATAGTTTTGTTTGTGCCTTCTCCACTTTGCCTGTATGCAGGTAACACAAATGATGACAGCATTGGAAACGATTATCACGCCCATAGGTACAAACCGTAATAGAGTTTCAGAAACAAGATAGTACACTTCGAAGAGCTGCTTCTGTCGACCAATAAAACCAAGAGCAATGATCTTCGTCACATTACCGTCAGGTAGGGTCACGTCCTTTACCTCGTATAACCAAAGCTTCGGGCTGGTGAGAATGGCAACCGACAAGGGAAGAACAATCGACAGTACTATCATTAACTTTTTTGTACATATCTGTTTCACTTTGAAGGGACGCGTTACAGCGATGAGACGTTCCAGCGAAACAAGAGCCACTAACCAGTTAGAAATTCTGCCTGGAAGAGGACTAAGATATACGGAGAAAGGAATGATTATTTTCATTGTTACCTCCTTTGCGTTTTCTGGGTAGTAAATCCTGATGAGCAGGGAGACAACATTTACAATTGTCGTAGCAATGAACGCAAGATCAGCAATTGCGATGGCGATCAGAACAACTGTAGTAGAATTAATAGGTTTCCGGCGGATCAAAATAAGCAGAGCCAGTATATTACCAACGATTCCAAAGGCAGACATAGGCGAAATGATTCCACACACCAATATTTTCTTAAAAATATCCATCACTGACTGATCTATGACGTAATAATTACTTCTGCTGGAACCAGCTTCAGTACTCACGGTTGTCGAGTTTTCGTAATTACCGAAAACATTAGTTGAGTTTGTTGTACTATTCTCATTTCCAGCAAAGTCTATTGAAGATTCTGTTGTAAACATTGTTAATCTTATATGGACTGATATAGTAAATGCATTGGGTTCTCTTTTATAAAATCTTCCCTGTCACGTGGTTTTATGTAACGAAAACAAGATCAATTTATGCACATCGAATGAATTCCTCTTATAGATTATCGATCGGCCGTCAGCACTGGCTTAGGAGGCACGGTAGTCTAGTGGTAGGACGCCGGGCTTGTGACCGAAGGGTTGCGGGTTCGCGCCCCGGCACGGCATTGTGTTGTTTCCTTGAGCAAGATACTTTACTCCGCTTGTTCCAGTCTACTCAGCTGTAAATGAGTACGTGGTTGGGCAGTGCTAGAATTGTTGAATGCTAGCTGTTAGCGCCGAAATGGCAGCTCGGGTTGTATGCTCCCCAGGGAGTTGAGAAATGTACTTACAAAGGCCCTATAACCACTGATATTAATTTGTGAACCGCTTTGAGATGACCTACGAACTAGGTTGTGATAAAGCGGTATATAAGAACCTCCAATTATTATTATTATTATTATTATTGTAAAGGGTTTGGCGATCACTACAGTTTTCTTCCAATACAATGATTTGGACATAAATTGTTAAATAAACTGTTAAGATGTAAGTGGTTGTTTTTGCATCAAGCTCGAAAGAAGAATCATTTCAAAAACTGATTTATTTAATTCAATTTCATTTTCAAAGCTGCATAAAACTCGGTTCCTTCCAGGTTTTTCCCTTTTGTGACCATGAAATAAATCTTATCGTAATATCTATATTTACATGTTAGAACAATGCCATACTGATATTAAATATAAGGTTTATATAAAATTAAATACATGAACAGTGAAATAGCTTAGAGTCACTAACTACACAATAAACCTTTGAGATTAGAGTGTTGTGATTATTTGATGTTTATGCCTTGACAAAGGGTTTGGTTTCATCGAAAATAGTACAAATGATATAGTTTGTACTGTTGCTACAATGTCTCTGTTTATTTATCGATTTAAACAATACACTTCCAACAAATATTGTTTTGTTCAATTCAATCGTCTCCATTACAACATACTGCCGTTATTACATATGATTTAATTTGTCTGAATCATAACAGCTGTGTATGTCTCTACTAGGAGACAATTATATTAGGAATAATAGCAAACAGTTTTGTCGGAATAATAACGGATATATTAATATCGTTTTTCCCGTTGCCCTTCCTATTTATTTATTTATAGTTTGACTGATGGATGTTGAATGAGAACCCTCCTGCGTGAGGACACCATATTGTTCAGGGGCTGACTTCAGGGCTCCCCAACCCTGGCATCCCCTATCAAAATATTTATATATGTATATATATATCTGCTTCGAAGCAGTATATGTATATACATATTTATGAAAAAAACGGCTGGGGGAATAAAATATTTGTACTGAAAATAAAAATGGCTTTAAATATATACTACTTACGAACGGAAAAAAACATTGTCTTATTCCAGTTCCATCTATGTAAAATCGACCTTAGCATCGACAACACGCTTACACGAGTAACTAGCACAACAATAAAAAAAATAGCCTTGAATGACACCCGGACGAACGCTGGAGGCGATACCAGAATAATTGAGCTCAACATTCTGTGCTAGCAAAGTTTTCAATACAATGTGCAAATGCACCAGCAGGGGAAAAATTCCATGGATATTTCGAAGGATTTTTTTGTGTTAGTTTTTGTTTATTGTTTATGTTTTGTTGGGGGGAGGGGGGAACTACTCGAAAAATTTAAAAATTTAAAAACTTCAAAAGGTTTTGAAGTCGGCCCTTAAACGTTTCACATAAACTAAGTGGAATCTGGGTAGCTGGTGAGAATTTGTTTATGAAGATAATGACAGGTTTCGTTGTCAGCTCGGAAACGACTTTATTGTCAAATTTTGATCCGAGTCGTTCTTGTGAAACGTGTTTGTTTCGATCGTTACTTATAACATGACTAACTGGAAGCGTGCCAATTTCAGTTTTCCTATTGTTAACCTTCCTTTTCTTGATAGTATCATCGCTGGTTTCCCTACATACAGTGATAACAGGTCGCTGTTAGTTTGATATTCATAGGCTTTAAGCAATTGTTACTGTTTTTGTGGTGAATGCTGACGGATAAACATACACCATTGGGTATCCAGAGATACAGGGTGACCAAAGCTACGGACAAGGTCATCATGATCTCATAAGGAACTATTCTATTTTCTTGCGTGATATTAATTTCGATGTCTTTTATTTCGCTCATCAGTGAGGTTAATGGTTTTTGTTGTGATAACCCGATTCTAATTTTCTTTATAAGATATTTTTATATATGACCATATTTTACATCGCGGATGTAGTCGAGTATACTTGCCCCTCCGGAACATCTGGTTTAATTAAGAAATAATCAACATATGTGCGTGTATTATAGTGAAATATTTAACGAGAATGAACAATGATATTTTATTTATTTTTTAATCCCGAGTAATTTTCCACACTATTATAGAAACATTATTATGCTGTTCGTATCTGTTCTACATAGTGAAGTGTAACACAAGTCTTTGTATCGTCTACTTTAGTGTCTATACGCCTATAATAAGCAAAGTGACCTAGATATTCTAATTATTAAGATTACTCTTTTATTCTGCGCATGCAAACATTCATTACGTGACGCCTTTGTGTCTTCGTTTAACAGCAAACTGAGTATTTCTCATTTCTGATCCTCTACTATTTTGTCTACATAATCTGAATATATTTAGGAATGACTTTTCAGTTTCAGTCGCCATTTGGTCGATAGACGATAAACAACTAACGCTGACGTCTTTATGCTTTATACCAGATGCTTATTACAATCAATCAAAACCACCAATCTATCGTCATCAATCGTTAACACGTGATATCAGAATTTGACAGATTTACAAACCCCATTTTGAGTTTGTCGGCTAGCAAATATTTAAGCACATACACAATTAAATTAATTTGACAAATACATTTGGGGGAAAGTTTTTGGAAGAGCGTTGGCTTGTGGGAAAATACTACACTCAAGCGCATGTAATGTCGACTAATAATACATGTTTATTAACTAATGAAATTAATCATTTCATCATTAAGATTGGTATAATCTAGGTTAACTATTTCAAGGGTTTGTTTGGGTTGTTTTGTGCATTCCTTCCTATCAACAGCTATGGGCATTTAAGGACGTACCAGGTTTTGGTGATGGAGGAAAGCCTGAGTTCCCAAAGGAAAAACACCGACCTACGGCCAGTACCTGGCAACTGCCCCACGTGGGTCTCGAACCCGCGACCCAGTGGTGGAGTGCTAGTGGTAGCAGAATGCCAGACGGCTTGACCACTTGGCCACCGTGGCCCTATTTCAAGGGACTTCGTGTGAAGTTTACAATCCCACAGATAGACTTTGAATTACGATTTTGTTAACATGTTTGTTTGTTTTTAAAAAGACCGAGAATTTGCGGGTTGCATTTCATGTGGGTTTTTTTAGCCGTGAACATATTGCAAAATGAGGCATCCGCAAAAATATGTACATTTGTATCTGTTAATGTTTACATATAGTCAAACAGTTTACAAAGTCTTCTGTCATTGTAAGTAATACACATCCAACAAACACCAGTTCTCATTTTACTTGTTTTATTTTTTTTAAATTGAATTAGTTTCAACAATTTTGTTAAAAGATTATACATGAAAGGGATCGAAAAATGGACTAGACTTAAATTATGCTCTCCTTATAGATATAAAGATGCCTTTGTATGCATTAGTTTAATAATGTATTTACAATAAGTGAAATAAAAAATCGTGGAAAAAAAATATTTACATATAAATATCAATATGCAAGATAGTGGTATAGGGGAGCTAAATCAATTGATAAATGAAGAATTGTTGGTCAGTCTTTGTTGAGTTTTGGCATCACCAGAGAAAACACTGTCCATCATCACTGACTAGGTACTCTTTTATGTTTCAAGATCAACACAAAGTGACCTGTAATTAATTAAATATTTAGTGGGAAACATGGGAAAGTTCGAATATTATATCAATAAACTATGCTGGTCATGTAAGATATTTCCCAATAATAAACTGGGTATGCAATCGGTTTAAAGTAGTGTACAATTATTTAAATAAACTACATAGTGCATTAAATGTGTCTCGTTACTTGTCCAGAATGAATTATTAGGAAAGCATACCTTATTCGTATTAGATAATTTCATATATTTGTTATGATATTAAAAACAACCAAATGTAGAATACCCTCCGTTTTCTATAAATTTTATTCAACTTGTTTATTGAGATATAAAACCTGATTCAGCCCAAGGCTAATCTTTTTCTGGGTTCTTAATCTGTCTATCTTCATCTATCTATATAAACTAGATTGAGTTTGTGATAAAAGTGGAATCAATGTTAAGCATGGTCTTATTAGTTTCATCGTCACATTGTTTACAAACATTCAGTATAATGCCAATTGTATAGTACATGTACAAGTGAGCATAAAGACATTTTACTGGTATATGTATATTCATGTTTACAATATTTGTACATTGTAACTTATTAATTTGTTATTCTATTTATATCAACCGTTTTGAGATCAAGGTTGAAACACTTTCTAAGATATCCCTATCAGTTTTATGATCACATTGCTTAAAACCATTTAGTATAGTGTGATTATCATTAGAAGGGATGCTGAGAACCATTGTTTGCGATTAATAGAATCTATCACTCCTGTTTGATGAAGACAGAGATATCCCAACCAGAGGGTGAAATATTGTTTTAGGTTTAGCACGAGGCTTTGCCCGAGGGTTGAGATATCTCTGTCTACATCACACATGAGTGATTGATTATTTTTCTCCCATACCGTTAGATGTTTATACCTTAATCACAATAATTTCACATATTCATACGGTAACAGATAAATGGTCATTTCGCTTTCCTCAATTTTCTTTTATACCTGTTAAAACATTGCGATAAAAAACGTTAATATATGACGAGATTCTTCTTTGTTTTATTTTCTCATTTCTTAAAAAACGACAAATT